TGGGCAGCTGTTAGCATCATCTCAGCATGCTAGATGTGTGAAGATAGCTGTCAGTGTGGATATGTTCTATATATAGTGAGAATGATTCCTGATGTTCACATTTCTGAAAATCAAGGATTCTCACACCAGGTGCTCTGTGATCTCTTTTCATCTGAGAAATTTTTATACAACTCCAGAAATATTCATAGTAACAAAAATAAAATGTTTAGCAATAATGAAGCAATTTAAAAATTATTTGGTATAAACGTATTTTTATCATTATTAAAGATGAGCGCAAGCCTGGAGGAATGACTCAGTGGATAAGAACACTGGCCGCTCTTCTAGAGGACCCAGGTTCAATTCCCAGCACCCTCATGCAGCTCACAATTTTCTGTAACTCCAGTTCCGGAATCTGTCGCCCTCACACAGACATGCATGCAGGTAAAACACCAATGCACATAAAAGAAAACTAAATAAAGCACTTTTGAAAAATAAGCACAAATGTGCATATTAATGAGATAGATTTGCTTGTTTATTTTTACATAAAGAATCTAACCTTTGTCTGGAGAGATGGCTCAGCAGTTAAGAGTACTGGCTGTTCCTCCAAAGAACCCTGTTTGATTCCCAGTACTCACATGGTACCTCACAACCATCTGGAGCACCAATCCCAGAGGATCCAATGACTTCTTCTGGTGTCCAGAGGCACTAGGCATGTATGTGGTTCACAGACATATATGCAGGCAAAACACCCATACACATAAACTTGAATGAAAAGCAGAATTAATCTTGGCTGAATATTTGCTACTGCAGGTCAGAAAGCAACGTTTTTCAGAGTTGATAATCAATTCTGTTTTATAATCATCAACATTGAGAATACTGCTTTGCATAGTAAAAAAAAGCAATAAAATAGTTTTAAAAATGGCAGAAGCAAATTTAGGGCTGTTTCATAAGTTTTGGAAACTTTGTCCTAATTTCAAGGCAAAATTCATTTAATGATTTATTAAATGAAACTCAAGCCAGTAATTTTTAAAAAGCAAACTTTCTAATATAACACAATCCAAAGATACAGGAATTTGGTATTTATATTCTGAGGAATAACAAATATGAAAAGCTAAATTCCCTGTAATTTTTAAATGTGTGTGTGTGTGTGTGTGTGTGTGTGTGTGTGTGTGTGTGTGTGTACTTGAGGTAGGGTGCCCAAGGAGGCCAGAGGCAGGAGGTTCCCTTAGAGCTGGAGTTACAGGGGGCTGTGAGCTGCCCTCAGTGGGTGCTGGGAACCAAACTTGAATCCTCTAGGAGAGCAGGAAGAACTCTGCTGAGCCATCTTTCCAGCCCCAGAGGCTTTGTTTATCATAATTAAATGATACGTTTCCATGAGAAAAGCCAGTAACTCTACACAATAAAAGTACTGTGATTCACAGTGTGTACCAGCTCGGCACAGTGGTGTTGTAGGCAGCAGTCATTGGCATCATGAGAGAGACAGCGTAAACAGTACAAGGTGTGTTCAGAACCAGGGCAGCAGTGAAGTCAAACCATACAACGTGGGCAAACACGGTCAGAAACATCTCAGAGTCATGGAGTAGTTGGTGTTTTAGATTAATTTTTGGTCATTGCACATTCAAACCTGACAAAGGCAAGTAGTTACCCCAAGTCATCCCAGCTTCAGCCACTGACAACAGGGGAGTAACTAATAGTTCAAGAGTGAAGACATGAAGGGAAGCTGTGCATGGACCCCAGACTGACGGCTGGGAGGCCAGCATGGGACTGATCCAGACCCCCTGAGTGTGGGTGTCAGTGAGGAGGCCTAGGCAACCTATGGGCCTTGGGTAGTAGATCAGTATTTACCCCTGGCATACAAATGGACTTTGGATGCCTATCCCACACTGAGGGATGCTCTCTCAGCCTGGACTCTTGGGGGAGGGCCTAGGCCCTGCCCTGGATAAAATGACAGACTTTGGAGATTCCCCCATAGAGGGCCTTACCCTCCCTGGGGAGCAGAGTGGGGATTGGATGGGGGGCTAGGGGACTTGGTGGAGGGGGCAGGTTAGGAGGGGAGGCAGAGGGAGCTGGGACTGACATATGAAGCAAGCTTGTTTCTAATATAAATTTTGAGAAAAGATAAAAAAATACGGGGAAATTAATATTGAATCCAACATAACCCTTTGTAATTTTGTAACTTTGAAATACCAAATATAATCTACTAGAATGGAAACTGGAAAAAAAGGGAATCTGTGGAGCCAAGAAAGCTGAGTGTGTTAAAGGCAGGGAGGAGGCCAGGAAGAGCCAGAAAACCGCTCTCTGTGGTGACTAGAGGGGTTTGAGAAGGCTGTGGAGTCTTCAGGACCCAGAGCCTCAGACAGACACCACACTGAGAGCATTAACACTGCTTCTGCCAAGGGTCCAAGGGCCTCCATAGCCGAGACCCGCATAAGACTGTCCTATAAGGTGCCACTTGCCACTGCTTCTGCTTGCTGATGCCACTGCTCCTTTAGGACAGACACTGAGGGACACGGAGAGCTGCTAGACATCTGAACTAAAAGCCTGCCCAGGAACTCAGCCAGCTGCCAGTGGCAATTTTAGGTATCTATGGTGTAAGTTTCCTTTAAGATCAAACATCCCCTCCTGCAGGGAGCTCCTTAAGCAGGAAGGCAAACAACTCACAACAGCTTCAGGAAGTCCCTGAAACTGACCAGATTCACTAGGCCCCTCCCTGCCAGAGTAAGCAAGTAAAGCTGAGAGTCCCATCTCAAAACTGGCTTTCAGAGGAGAGAAACTACAAAACTCTGAGGCCAGACCAGCAGCCAGGAAGAAGCAGAAACTAGCCGAGGCACCTGGAAAGGACACTCAGCAACCTGCTGAGCTGCCTGCAGGCTGTGCTGTGCACTCCAGGTTCCCAGCTTTGTGAGCTGTCACCCATGCTGGGATGGGCGTTGGTGATTCAGCTGTCTTTGAGTCATTTCTACTCCTGTAAGTAATCCCTCACTCATATTCTTGTAAACGACCCAATAAAACTCATTGGTCCACCAAATTGGACTTTGATGGTATCCATACTTTGGTCCATCTTGAATTCCCTATCTGGGGTGAGCATACTGTGCTGTGTCTTCCCAGGGAAAGTTTTATCACACAATACTGAAGGGACTCTAGTGAGCCTGAACATAGCAAACATGACTCTGGCAGGCCTTGTCCTTCTCCCCATTCCCTCTGCCTTGCTAAAAACCATTATATTCCTAAAGCTGCCACCAAGATCTATTGCCTTATTTGGCTACTTCCTCCTCCTGAGGCTGACTACTGAGGTCCAGCTATCAATGCATTGAAGTCCAGCAATCAAAAGACGACTTTGGTTCAATTAATTAACATGCCCAATTAAAATTAAATATTAAATAGGAGCAGTTCAGAAGGAGCAAGCCAGTAGCAGCGTCCTCCACGGCTTCCGCTTTAGTTCCTGCTTCCGGCTCCCTGCCTGGTTCCTGCCCGGACTTTCCTCGATGATGCACTGTGATGTGGAAACAGCTGAAGCAAACTCTTTCTTCCCCAAGCTGCTTTAGTCGTGGTGTTTTATCTCAGCAATAGGAAGCTAACTAAGACACCAAGAGGTCACATCTTCAGCTACAAACACAAAGCTGAAAGCGTGAACTGGAAATGGGGTAAGACTATAAACTCTCAGAAGCCTGCCTGCAGTGACACACTTCCTCCGGTAAGGCTCCATGTTCTAAAGGTTGGTTCCACGACCTCTTCCAGGCAACACCACCAACCAGGGACCAAATGTTCAAATACATGAGCCCCGGAGGAACATTTTCATTCAAACCACCACATATCCACAGCTCACAAATGCCTGTAAATCCAGCTTCAGGGAACCTGACTTCTATTGGGAATTCTGAGAAGTACATGTGAGTACAGGTGTACATGTAAGTACAGGTATACTCACATGTACACACACACACATAGACACACACACATCTAAAAATAATAAAAATTTTAAAGAGAAAAAATGTGAGTGTACCATAATTTGACTAAACAATCAAAGTGTATTCAAGGTGTCTCCATTTCTGTTTCTGTTGGAAATAAGACTCATCTGTCTTATTCAGAACCCAACGGCCTGCAATACCACTAAGCATCTGTTAATAGGGAACCAGGCCTGCATCCAACATGATAGTGTCTTCCATTGATAGCTGAAAGATAGCATAGGGCAAGAGCCAGATCCTTGGAGAGAGAGATGTGGAGATTTCTTGTCACCCTCCCCTTGGGTTCAAGCCAAAGAATCTCCCATTTTCACTTCCAGCAGCAAAGTCACAGACACAGCAGGTGGCCACTCCTGCCAGCCATAGTTAGACATGTGGTCCACAGAACTGAACAGCATCATGGGTGAAAACTCACATCCATGGAGGGCACCACTCTGCTTTTCCTCTCCAAGATCCAGAGTTTGCTGGGGCAGCTGCAGCCCACAGTTGGCAACACCTAGAATTTCTTCACCAAGGCCCTTCCAGAGGGTCAGCCCTGAATTTGCACAGCGACCCCCATCAGTAGCACACGGATGATTCTGGCTGCTACCTGGTGTGCTACTAAGATCCTGCCTCTTGGGGGACCCTTTGAGGATCCAGCCAAGAATCCAGCCTGGACTTCAACCAAAATTTCTCTTTACACCTCTTCGCATCAGTAATCCCACAGTCCAAGTTTACAGAAATTTGGGTTGGTGAGAACCTGAGCACCAGAGTTGGAGTGCCATATACCACGTGGTGGATGCAGAGAACCAAGCTGTCTTAAGCTATCTTAAGCTTCCAAACACACATCTTGACATGTTCCCACTTCATTAAATAAATAAATAAATAAGTGTAATTTATTTGCTTCTTTAAGACTTGTAGCAGGTGCTCTTGCATGTCTCTGAATAATTTCAAGATGGAGTTGCATCTAGGAATGTCTATGCAAGATTAGAGGCTGTAAGAGTCTGGAGTGGCGAGCCCGGGGCGGGGCCGCGCGTCCCGCCCAGGTGTCACGTCACCGCCAAGCGCGCCACCGAGGCGGGTGGCGCGGTGGCGCGCGTGCGTAACTCGTTCCCGGGCCATGGCTAGCTGGGTCGGGACCGAGCTCTCGGCGCTGAACCCGCTGCGCACGCTGTGGCTGGCGCTGGCCGCCGCCTTCCTGCTCGCATTGCTCCTGCAGCTGGCTCCCGCCGGGCTGCTGCCGAACTGCGCGCTCTTTCAGGACCTCATCCGCTACGGGAAGACCAAGCTGTCCGGCCCGCGGCGCCCCGCCGTCTGCAGGGCCTTCGACGTGCCCAAGAGGTAACCGCGGTGGCGGGGCGCGCCCGACAGGGGGCAGCCGAGACGGCGCGGGCACGTGAGCCTGTGGCTGCCCAGTGCCGTCTCCGGAAATGACTGAGCATCCCAAGGTTGGCCCGGTCCCCGGGGGTCTGCTCAAGTGTCTTTATCACAGAGTGTCCCCCTTTCCCGTCCCAGAACTCTTAACGTGGAAGTTCGTGACCGTAGAGGCTGGGTCTTCCCCTATCTCCCCAGTTGTCTCCCCAACCTGTCACAGTTAGGAAAGAGGTCCAGAGGTCCTCGGGCTGCGCTGACATCCTTCATCTCAGCCGGTGCACTGGCAAGCTGGCCCAAGATGCCCCATCCCGGAAGGTTTAGTTACAAAGATGTGAAGTGCTAAAACCTTCCGGGCACAAATAGGGTCCACTCTGAATATGGGAGACTTGCTCCATGGTTTTCTCATTTTTGGTCTCACATTGAATTCCGTGTGTAGATGGAGAAGTCAGTTTAACACGATTCTGGATAGTAAAGGTGTATCTTTTCTTTGGACTGCATCAGACATTTGCATTTAGAATTGAGTTTGAAGGACTGTGATGGGTTATTTTCAAAGTCTATAGACAGTGCCCACCTCTGCAGATGATGCGAAACTATCAAGAAACACAGAAAAGTGGGCAGGCCGCAGCTCTCTTGACTGTTGGAGAGTGATCTATCTGGGGTTCAGTCTAAGAGTGGATTGTGAAGAGTGAATGGTAAAGAGATAAGGCCCCAATGAACTGTTCTTAGAGGCTCAGTTTTAAAAACATGAGCACACCCTGTCATTCTATTGTAATCGGGTTTGATTGGCCTACATCCCTTTCTGCTATATAGTAATTTAGTTTCTGACTTTTGAGAAAGGTCCTAGTGGCCCTGAATTTAAAAGCACACTTAAAAATCACTTCTGCCTTGTCAGCCTCTGGCTGGGGCCCATCAGCTGTTAGACTTCACACTTGTCATTATTTAACAGCCAAGAAAGAGGCGAGCTTTCCTAACATTCATCCCTGTGACACTTGGTACTCTGGGCTTCTTGTGATTCCTGCAGTATTGTGAAATAATCCTTCTTTCCTTCTTCCAGAATTCTAAAGCAGAGCCTTCCATGCTGTCCAAGTGCTCTGAGTGATGGTGGATATTGTTTTCCCCTAAATTGTACTTTAATTTTCAGTACTGGGCAAGGTCCAACAATGCCAGGCCAATAAGGAAAGGCATTCTTAATTGAGGCAAAGAAAGACCAGGGGAACATTGTATCAAAAGTGACAGGGTCTTCAGAAGAACACATGCCAACAAAAACCCTTCCATATTCCTTCTTCCTTATCAATTTCCTTTTTAATTGCCGGCTCCCCATTTACATGCAAAGGTGGTAATTACACTTCTCTCTGTTTTCCAGAGTAACTTCAGTGATGTTGTGCTTAGCACTTTCATGGGCAACCCCCCCAAAAAAAAACAATAGTGAATTAGAAGCCAGAGATGAATTGCCTGTGTGCCTTGTACTCAAGACTCCTAGCACTAAATGCCTTTCTCCATTTAGTCCTGATGACAGACCTGTGAGGGACATGTCTCCATTCCCACCCACAAATGTACAAATTCAGGCTTGTTGCACCAGTGAGGGTGGCAGCTAGACCTGGAATACTGACTGTGAGCATAGGACCCCAAACTCTTAACCTCCAGCATGCCTTGTGGGCAAACTCTGGCACCACGCAAACCTGAGTCCTGTCTGAGAGATCTGGCAGTGGACTTAACCCCCCCCCCGGGGGGTGGGGTGGAGGGGGTGTCACTGCGTAATATCTTAGTTAATCCAGATTTTATAACATTTGGTAATCTTAGCCAATGTGCTTATTACTTAACTATTTTGAATAGCTTTTCCTTGTGCAAAATGTAATGTCATCCTCAGGAATGAAAATAAGAAATAAGCCTGTGACTTCTACACTTACAAATAGGCAGCTTCGCGCCTCATTTCTTCTGCACATGTGATAGTGCTTAGGTCATTTAATGTGTAATTATATTCTCCTAAGGAAGCAAGAATAAAGCCTAACTTCCTGGAATGTTATTTTCTATTCTCTAGCCTGGTACTGGCTATTTGTTTGAGTTTTGGGGATTTGGGGGTTTTTGTTTGTTTGTTTGTTTGTTTGTTTGTTTGTTTTTTCAAGACAGAGTTTCTCTTTGTAGCCTAAGCTATCCTGGAACTCACTCTGTAGACCAGGCTGGCCTGGAAATCATAAGATCAGCCTGTCTCTGCCCCCAAGTTCTAGGATTAAAGGAGTGCACCACCACTACCCAGCTTTTTTTGTTTTTTTAATCAAGGCAACAACTGCTTTTCTTGTTTTGATTGAATCCCCAGAAAGTCTGTATAAATAAGTGACCAGGACCCAGGAGTCTTGTTGCTCTTGGCTTCCACAGTAGATGGAAACACTTCTGTTTCTAAATTTTAAAATAGCTCCAAGGAACAAGGAAACTTAGCGCTGAGCTGGGCTCTGCAGGTCAGATGCTGGCCAGTTTTCTGTCCTCGAGTCCAGGAGTATCAGAAGCAGTTGGGATCTGTAGATTGGATACAGATTACATCTTTATCTTCATCAATCTCTTGCTGAAAAGTTAGCATTTCCTTAATTATGAGTGTCATCAACATACCACAGGACAATAGCAGTGCCTCCAAGTTTTTGATAGAATATAATCCATTAAAAATAGTGAGAACCCCTTGAAATGGTGTTGTTTCAATAACCACAGAAGCGTAGTGGTTATTCACTAGGGCTCATTACTCAGTACATAACAAATGCATGGGTTCCTTATGGCATAGACTAGGCTTTTAATAATGAGTTACCTAGATGTCCGTATTATTGATTTTCTTAGTGTCCTCCATGTATCTTATGCTTATGGTGACATTTTGCGATGGGCCAAGAGCCTTTATCAAGCAACATTTACATGTGTCATCAGCTATAACAGCCTTAACTCATGCCTAGAGGCAAAAATGTTTGGAACAAAGGATGAGAGGCTCTGTTGGCTTGGGGTTAGACTAGTTTCTTCGGTAAATGAATTATTTATTATGTTCTCCGTGCATTTAGTGTACCAGTTTTCCCAGAGGGCCTCCTGTTAATCTCAAAGCTAGCCTTGGCTCCATGAAGCTCATAGGCAGACAGAAAAATATGTCAATGGGGATTGGCGATCTGTCGTTTGAGTCTTAGCTGTCTCTTTAAATACAAGCAAGAGACAGGACCTCCTGTAGAGACTAGGAAGTGTTTCCTATAGAAGGACATTCAGACAGGAGACTAAAATGCAAGACTGAAAAACAATACAATGTGTATTTAAACCAAAGGTGCCATGGAACGAGGAGAGCTGTGAGGCACAGCCCAGGAATCCATTGAAACTACGGATTCACTTGCCTACGGTTGTCTCATAAACTGGCTGTGTATGACAGAGGGCTAGGAAACAGGTTCAGACAAGCCCCGCCTGCAGGCGAGAGTGCAACAATGTGATAGAAACACCAGTCCTTCTAGCCCATCTAGAAACAACTGCTGCCACTGCTGTGGCCTTGGATAGGAACTTACCCTCTCAGGGCCTTGGTGTTCCGTCTGCCGTGTGAGGAGAACGAACTAGTGGGATTGTTGTAGAGATGAAATTTCATGGTCATGCCTCTAGTTTGTAATGCCAGTGCTGTAGCCAGCAGAGATGGGAGAATCGCTGGAGCTTGCTGTGACAAAATGCCTCAGTGAGCCTCATGCCATATTAAATGATCTTGTTTTAGCAAACCAGCATCATCCTTTACATTAAATTAGCATTGCTGGCTTCATTTCATTGGTTTTGTGCCTTCCTGTTTATTTATATTGTAAATAATTCACTGCCATATAGGTTCATAGGCTTAGTAGTTGGAGAAATACAACAATAAGGGGTTGATACCTGGCATTATTATTGCAGTCTTTTTTCATATTATAAAAAATTAACTTGGAAGGTGCGGGGAGAAAGAAGACGGATTGGGTAGTGACGTGCCTGCCACACATGCATGAGGACCTGAGTTCGATCCCTAGTGCACACATAATAGCCAGGCATAGGACAAGCACCTGTAGCCTTGGTGCTGGGAGGATGGGAATCACCCACCAGCTAGTTTAGCTGAGGTTGTAGGCAGTTATGAGCTGCCCAATGTGGATGCTGGAAATCAAACTTGGATCTTCTGCAATAGCAGTGCTCACACGCACGCACGCGCACGCACCCACACACACACCCAATTATAATAAATTTGTTAAATAAAGTATATGAAACTGGAGAGATGGCATAGCAGCTACGAGCATGGACTGCTGTTTCAGAGGTCCAAGTTCAGTTTTCAGCATCCACATTGGAGTTGTTCTTCCAATTCTGAGTCAGCCTGGTTGCATGACACTTGCGTGGCAGTTGTGTGGCTGCCCAGTTTGGGATCCAAAGGACTCCCACAGATGGCACTGCTGCTGGCCTGTGCAAGTTGCTACAGCTCTTTCTGAGAACTCGGTGGCCGCTTTTGTCACCCAGAGATGAGAGATGTTAACTCATCCTTCCCAAGTCCAGTTTAGCACGTCTCATGGTTTAGAAGTACATTTCGAAACATTCCCACCTGCAGAATTCAGGTTCTGTTTCAAACCTAAGCTCAGTTTTGGGATACGGGTCAGGTGGGTGGAAGGGTAGAATGACTTGGGCTCTTCCTGGGGTTTGCTGGGTTCTGGCTGGTGGTTACCTAACTCTTTCTGCTATCGCAGGTATTTTTCTCACTTCTACGTCGTCTCGGTGTTATGGAACGGCTTCCTGCTCTGGTTCCTTTCTCGGTCTCTCTTCCTGGGAGCACCTTTTCCAAACTGGCTTCGAGCTTTGCTCAGAACTCTTGGAAGCACACAGTTCCGAGGTAATTTGGCTCCCTAGCCTGTTCCTGGTTCCTGCCTGCAGGTCTCACCCATCAGGCCCCTCTGCAGGGTCTGGGAAGTGGAAGGCAGACAGGGTTTACGTGGTTTACTGAGCTGTGGTAGAGCCCAGGGTGAGGCCCTGGTCTGCTGCCTTGCAAGCCCACGTTGAATGTAGGATGGGCTGTTCTCGCTCTGATACTGTTAGTGGGCTGATAAGCTTACAAAGAAGGCCTTACACATGCTGGGGACACTTTGAAAATCCCTGCATTTGCATTGAAACATTTATCATTTACACAGCTGCAGCCAGAACCGTGCCCCTGGGCTCACAGAAATTTGATTTTTAAAAGTTGCTTTCTGGCAAACATTTAAAAAGGTCTGGGGACTGGTGAGGTGGATCAATGGATAAAGGTGTTTGCCACCAGGCATGATAATCTAACATCCATCTGCAGGACCCACATTTGAGAAGGAGGAAACAGACTCCTACACACACACACACACAGAGAGTAAATAAATTAGTTAATGAAAATTAAACCAAAAAGGTTATTATGTTTTACATCTTCAGTTAAAGAAACTGTGAGTAGTTGTTGGCCAGATCATTGCAAAATAGCATTTAAAATCTCCATAGCGGCATATAAGGGCTCTGTAGAAGGGGATAGGGGTCCTAATGGCTTTGTTGCTTATCATGTTCATGTATTTGAAGGTTAGATTTGAAGAGTTTTCCTTGTTTTAACCTGTTCATAAAGAGTTAAAAACTGGGTTTTAATTTACTTAAAATACAAAAAGAGCAAAGCAATTCTCTGCCGGTAAAAGTTAGAATGGAGTTCTTAACCTTGGAGCAGCCCAAAGCAGACAGGGTCATGCTTAGAAAGGAACACTAGGGGGCGCTGGTCAAGTCCTAGTTCTCAATCACTAGTGAAATGTGTGAGAATTAGTAAACATTCACCAAGCTGTGTCCCTATGATTGTGTCTGTGTTACTCATTTTAAAAGACAGACTAGATTTTATGACATTTTTTAAAATGAGCTTTCGTCACACTGACTTGGAGTATGAAATGAAGGGCCAGCAGGAAGGTGGACCTCGGGACCCACTGTCTCTCTAAAGTGTAATTTCCCCTCTTCTTTTTCTTTTGACAGCACTGGAGATGGAGTCCAAGGCCTCCCAAATGCTAGGCAAGTGCTTCATCGCTCAGTCCATCTCCCACCCTTTATTTTTTAAGCCTGGAAAGAAACACTCACCTTTTGGATCACCGCCTCCATCTCTGCCTTTGTGGGTGGGTGTGTCCCGGGAATCCCACAGATAGCATTTCCAACATCAGCGTGGACCTACCTCTCCCTGAGCATCTGCATCTGGCAGTTGGCATAGACCCTGAGTCCTGGGCACACAGACCCTTCATCATGATGTCCACGTGGCCTGGAAGGCTCTTAATGATAGAGTCAGAGATGAGTTCTGTCCCCTCTTCCCCGACCCCGCCACTAACTGGCCGCGTGGCTATCATTCATCCTGGGTCTTCACAGCATGAAAGATGAAGACATGAGTTTGAGTGGTCTCTGACCCTCATCTTCTGAAAGGCTCTGTTTCAGGCGGGCCCACTGAACACTTGGCTTGATGCTGGCGGAGACGCTGACCCTGTCGCCTTCTGCATTGCAGTGGGTGAGCTGGCGCTGTCTGCCTTCTTGGTGCTGGTGTTCCTTTGGGTCCACAGTGTGCGGAGGCTCTTCGAGTGCTTTTACATCAGTGTGTTCTCTAACGCGGTGATGCATGTCGTGCAGTACTGCTTCGGCCTTGTCTACTATGTCCTAGTTGGCCTAACTGTACTGAGCCAAGTGCCCATGGATGACAAGAATGGTGAGTGGCCCTTGCAGTACATCCAAAAGTCATCACATAAAAAGTAGACATGAGCCGGGCGGTGGTGGCGCACGCCTTTAATCCCAGCACTCGGGAGGCAGAGGCAGGCGGATCTCTGTGAGTTCGAGGCTGGGCTGGACCGATAGCCTCCAAAACAATACAGAGAAACCCTGTCTCGAAAAACCAAAAAAAAAAAAAAAAGTAGACATGACTGTGGTAAGGTACAAAGCATTCTCGAGTCTGTTTAAAGACGATAAAGTTAAGCTGTGTGGGGTTAGCCTGTGTCGAGGTAGGAAGTGCAGCTAAGCTCTGGACAGAAGGCATGAGACCTCCAAAGGACCAGGAGAAGGTCGCTGCAAAGGAAGCGACCTCACCAGAGCCCAGTTATTGGGGTGCATGCAGGAGAGAGAGAAGTCTCTATGTGGGATTAAATCACAGAAAAAACAAACGAGGTGGGGGATGAGCTTGAGGCCAGTTCTCATCCTCAGGAGGAGCACAACCATTCTCTTGCCTCTGGTTCTTGGGATGGCTGCCCTTCTAACAAAGTCTTTCTTCTTGTGGGACAGCCTGAGGGGAGAGGAAAACCAAGTCTGCCAGTAAATGAAGATGACCTTAAGGTTTCTGTGTGTTCTCTGGCCAGGAAGAGGAAAGCGAGCCTTTGTATGGGAGAAGGAAGTGAGGTGGCTTGCTACTTCATTTGGAAGTTATATAACCTATATGACTGTCAGATTCATAAAAAACAATCTGTGTGGATAGTATAGAACCCTAATCCTTGTGGGTGATTGGAATGACTTTTAGTGCTGAGGTTAACTTGACCTTGAGGCCATGGGCTGTCTGCCCAGCTCGTGTGACCCTTTTCTCCGTGTCCTGTATCATAAGTTGTGACAGAGATCCGTGATTCCAGCTGTCACTGACTGAGTCTTGCCTTGTTTGATTTCGGTCTCAGAGTGCACCAGAGTCTGCTCTGTCACTGTAATACACTTCCTGAGGCTATAAGAATTCTTCGAATGCCGGGCATTGGTGGCGCATGCCTTTAATCCCAGCACTCGGGAGGCAGAGGCAGGTGGATCTCTGTGAGTTCGAGGCCAGCCTGGTCTTCAGAGTGAGTTCCAGGACAGGCTCCAAAACAATACAGAGAAACCCTGTCTCAAAAAACAAAAAAACAAAAAAAGAAAAAAAAAAGAAAAGAATTCTTTGAAAGGCAGGCTTATCCGCCAGATAGCTTCTCGTTGCCAATTCCAGCCATTCAGGCAGCATCTCTTCTAAGTAGGGAGAGAGTCTATAGTTTCAAGTCCCACTTCTAGCCACATACTTCCTGCAGCCAGGCTGCACCCCCTAACCCTCCACAGTGTCACCAGCTAGAGACCCGGAGTTCAAGTCCCCGAGCCGCCTGTGGAGGGCATTTCTCATTCAAACCCCCAGTAATCTCTGATCGAGTCAGCTTTTTCTCCCATGTCTTCCCACTGTGGCATTCAGGTGCTCATCCGGTTACCATGGCTTTTTGCCCAGAGGAACTTTCCAGAGTTCCTTGGTTGCCCACTAGCTTTTCTCTCTTTTTCTTTTCTGTTGGTCTCACCTCACTTTTCTGAGCTTCTTCGTTGCAGCAGTATGGCTGGATTAGCTACTCCTCCTCGTTGTTGAGACCAGACACCCGACAAGAAGCAACTTAATGAAGAGGTCTGAGTGGGAGGACGCTTGCCCAGCACGGGCCCATGTATCTTAGCAAGGTGTGGTATCTCACCTGTAGTGCCAGCACTTGTGTCACCAAGGCAAGAAGATCACTTCAGCTGCAAAGCCAGCTTTGTCCATATCTTGAACTCCAGGCTACCCAGGTCCACACAGCCAGACCCCATCCCAGAAACACAAACAGAAATTCTCTACCATAGTAGGAAGTGCTGCATTCGGCGTCTGTAGGATCAGATAGCAATGCTGTAGGCTTGAGTGTCTGCTAGCTATGTCCACCTGATGGGGTTTCTCCATCTCAGAACCCCTGTCAGTGATCAGGGTCACAGACTGACCTCTTGGACCCTCAAAGGAGTGTCTGCAGCTCACAGGAACCGGATTTGGTTTAGAACTGAAATCAACACAGGTGAATCTAGCTCTTGTTAGCCATTAGTTACCCTCAACTGATTCCCACTGTGTGTTTCTGGAGACAGTAGTGCGATGCTTGCTGCTCTTACCTGAATCAGCTGTCAGGGCTTCGTCTGCGCTCCAGGGTCCCAGACTTTTGGAGTTTTCAGTGGACGAGTTTTGCTTCTTCAGTTAAGACAAGGCTGTGTTAAGTGTTTAAGTGCTCTTGATGCTTATGTTTCTTCTCTTTATGAGAGACCACTCACCCTTTACCTCAGAAGGTCTCTCTACTAGACAGAACTAGGCAGCACAGTACATGCATGCACTCTCTTTATTTCTCTCTCTCTCTCTCTCTCTCTCTCTCTCTCTCTCTCTCTATCTATCTATCTATCTATCTCTCCTTCCCCCCTTGTATTTGCAGGGGTGGATATCATGTAGTCCAAGACTGGCCTTGAACTCATGATCCTGTTGCCTCAGCTTCCCAAGTACTAGGATGGCAGGCATATAACCACCGTGCCTGTGTTAGCTCAGCTTTCTGTATTCAGGATCTCCTTTACAGGACTTTGGGCGGCAGCTCAGGGGGTGTTTCTTCGGAGAATTTTCTTCTTGGTGGGAGAGTGTAAGCAAGAAGACTTAAAATGAGACTCTGTCATAGGAGCTCAGAACATCTCACCACACAGTAAGTCTCTGGGGACGGGCTGAGTTCTTGCCAGAAGCATTTGAAGAATGCTTGAGAGAAGATGTTGCTCGGTCTCCGCCCTTGACTGCCAGAGCTGTGGAGACTGAGAAGCAGCTCTCACTGTCTAGAGGTGATGCTATAATAACACAGCACAGGAACTCTGGGAGTCTGCAGCATTGCATTAGCTAATGGGGCAACTCCTGTTTCCATAGTCTATATGCTGGGGAAGAATCTGCTGCTACCGGCTCGGTGGTTCCACGTCCTCGGAATGATGATGTTTCTCTGGTCGTCTGCCCATCAGTATGAGTGCCACGTCATTCTCAGCAACCTCAGGAGAAACAAAAAAGGTGAGGTCTCCCCCACTGGTCCCTCTGAGATGGGCTCAGGCCCTCAGCGGATGGCCTTCTCGGTCCCTTCATTCCCTTCTTCCATGCCCTTGTCAATATCAAACACTCACTTTTGACAGGACCCCTTCCTGATTGTGATCCTCCCATAGGTACAATGAGGGGACAGATCTGGCTCTGACAGTCTGTGATTCTGTCCCGGACAGCCCTGTGGGGACCACACCATGCACATTTCTGATCAGCATGTGGAAAACTCACGTTAGTGTGGAGTAGTGTGGCCCAGCAGAAGGAAAGAAAGTTGACTTCCGAGTTAGCCTGGACTGACTCATCATGGGTGCAGTTTGCAGTGCTCTTGTTTTATAGATACAGCAAGATTAAGCAATTTACATCAAGTTACACAGATACCAAGTGGCAGATTGGGGATTTGAACTCATGCACCCTGGCTCTGGCATCTGAGCTCTTGTGTGCTTGTGAGAACTGATTGTTGTTTTAAGACAGGGTCACTAGTATATCCTTGGTTGACCTGGAACTCACTTTGTAGACCAGGCTGGCCTCAAATTCACAGAGATCTTCCTGCTTCTACGTCCCGAGTGTTGGGACTAAAGGTGTGATCCAACATGCCCAACAGGCCTTTTCTTTCCCTGAGACGTAGTCTCACTTTGCAACACCAGCTGGCCTTGAACTCAGAGATTCACCTGCCTATGCCCCCAAGTGCTAGGATTAAAGCCATGCACCTCCATGCCTGGCTTTACGGTTGATGGCCAGTGGAAGTGTGACAGGATGGTGCTCTTCCATGTGGGGTGTGCTGCTTGGTAGAGTTTCTGTCAGTGCTTTCAGAAGTGGAGTGGTGAAACATGCCATCGTTCCCTTTCAGGTGCCATAGTTCACTGCCAGCACAGGATCCCCTTTGGAGACTGGTTTGAATATGTGTCTTCGGCTAACTACCTGGCAGAGCTGATGATCTACATCTCCATGGCTGTCACCTTTGGGTTCCACAACTTCACTTGGTGGCTGGTGGTGGCATATGTCTTCTTCTGCCAAGCCTTGTCTGCCTTCTTCAACCACAAATTCTACAAGAGCACATTTGTCTCCTACCCAAAGCATAGGAAAGCGTTCCTTCCATTTTTGTTTTAAGGCAGCCTTTACGGGGAGGCATGCAAGCCAGGGGACAGATTCCATTCCTGGAGACAACAACGTAAGTACACATGCAGCGGGAATGTTTGGAATTCCATTCCACTGCCGTGCTGCGGTGTTCACTGGGCAAGGCAAATGTTCCTGGGGAAGACACTCCTGGGAGACCTGGGCCTGAGGAACCTGCTTTCTACCAAGCTTTACAGAGACAGCTGATAACCAGTAAATGGGCGTCTCTGAGCTGATTTATGGTCCCGCTAACCAGGAGTATAAACAGCTTTGCAAGCATGCATTACTTCCGTACAGGAAGAAAAATGATCCTCTGTGGCTGGGAACAGTGAACTGGACTGAGTGCTATAGGTTAGCAGTTTGTTAATAAATGCTACATGTCAATAAAAAAAAGAAACCTCTGAAAATAACACAAACGTATAATTGAATGTACGATATCACACCGGTGGTTCCAGGGAGAAAGGAGTTTGTTGGAGTTAGTTAATACTCTGAATTTTATCACCAATGTCCTCAGCTATATAACCAGTGTCTTACCTGCCCTGCAAACTAGCCTAACATTACGTTTGGGAGCCGTTTTTGATTGAATTCTCTTTTTGACATTTGTGTACTGAAGAAAATCGGGGAAATAAAGTATTTTTGTACTTATGCATACAGACATGCCCTGGACCGGATAGCGCTGAAAGACGCAGCCTCGCTCTGCCATTACTCAGTGTTCACATATGCCTGGGTCTGTTTCAACTAGCAGAACAAAACCAAAATATGCTTGGAATAACGTTACACCTTACTCAACTAGCTTATGTTAGAGGAACTATCCAGCTGGGGTCAAAGGGAAGTAGAGGCATGGGATGAAAGGACACAGAAGTGTGACAAAGATACCATTGCCCTGCAACAGGAAAGCCTCCACATCCCTATGGTGGAACACACTCTGGGCTGGGCTGGGATGTAGTCGGGTAATTGAGTGCTTGCCTAGAGTATATGAGGCTCTGCATTCAGCTCCCAGCACTGAGAGAAAAAAAACTTGGGGATACTGCTTACCAGCTGAGGTACTTTTTTTTTTATTGGGTTTTTCATTTGTTTTGTTTGCTGAGTCAGGGTCTCATGTAGCCCAGGCTGCCTTGAAGGCATTATGTACCAGTGAATGACCTTGCACTTGTGACTCTCCTGACTCAGTCTCCCAAGTGCTGCAATTGTAGGCATGCGCAGTCCAGTGCTGTGCATCAAACCCAGAGCTTCATGCATCCTGCAACTCTGTGCCTTCAGCCCCAACGCAGTCAACGCAGACGTCATATACTCTACTGAGAAAGACATCCCTGGAGTCACAAACAGAGGCTGTTTAACTCGCGTATCTTAAGCTAATGTATTTTTAAAACTTAAGTACTTGTCTTGCAGTAATGGGGATTGAGCCCAAGCCCTCACAAATGCTTCACACAGCTTATCACTGAGCTACACCCTAACTCTTTCAATCTAGTTTCAAACCATCATTGTATGACACTGTCCCCAGGGAGTTAGTATTTTGTTGTTTGGAGTTTTTGTTTGTTTGTTTGTTTGTTTTGGTACAGGATCTTTCTGTGTTGCAGCGCTGGCTGTCTTGGAACTTACTATGTATGTAGATCAGTGTGGCCTCAAACTCACAAAGATCCACCCATCTGTACCTCCTAAATGCTGGGATTAAAGGCACATGTCACCATACCTACCTCTGGATAGAGAATCTATGATTGACAGAAGTAAGGATAGCACCAAAATCGACTTGGCGAGCTAATCAATTTTGTTGGCTTACTTACAGGAGCATGCTGAAGGGTTATTTAACAGGAACAGACTCAAAGACAGCTGCATCACCAAAGCCCACCCTAGCATGAGTGACAGCTCACAAAGCTGGGAAAACTGGAGGACACTGCACAGGCTGCAGGCAGCTCAGGGTTGGACAGTGTCCACTCCAGGCAGCTCAGCTGGTTTCTTCTTTCTCCAGTGAGCTCACCTTGTCAGTGTTTCTCAGCAGCCCTTACATGTTATTTATTCCTGAGGCAGAGGGACCTACTGAATCTGCTCAGTTCCAAGGACTTCCTGAAGCCATTGAGGTGTTTCTTTCCTGAGTTCAATGAACTTCCCTGCAGGATGGAATGTTCCAGCTCCCCGTAGACCATCCTGCTGTTTCACCTCCCCTTTATTAATGACCTCCCCTTAAAACAGAAGGTTTAACTCTTGGGCTCACTGCTGTCTAGCACACATGCTAATCCAAATCCACCCTGAAGCGCCTATGTGTATTGTGATGCTGTGTTTTCTCGACCATCAGTCAACTCACCATTTACTCAAGATTAATTATTTGTTCTGTCCAAATAAATGAGGTTTATCATTTATCATTTATAATTTGCTGTCTTTGGGACCAGGGCTCAGGAACAAAACTCTTCCAACATAGGAGATGTATGTAAATCACATGTCGGTTTGTTTTTAACACCCACATGAATGACACGCATGATTTTAAATAAATAGTTTAAAGGAAAGTTGTATTTTACTTTAGGATGAAATTTTACACCTAAGCTCAGCTGAGGATCTGGAGTGAAACGGGAGCATCTCCACTGGAGGCCTGCCAGTCTATGAGAAAGCTCCACGCCCTACCATCCTTTGCTAGCCCCTGCACACTGTCCTCTGTTTTTTTCTTTCTCTTTTTCCTTGTCTGAACATGTCACTTCTAGGTCAAGTATAGAGAAGTGCTCAAAGGGCTCAGACCAGGGCTGGCATGTAGCTTGGTTCCTAGAGCACTTGCCTAGCATGCATGAGTTCCTGAGTTCAATCCCCAGTGTGTAAAACTGGGTGTGGTCATGACTGCCTGTAATCCCAGGACTTGGAAAATGGAGGCAGGAGGATCAGAAGTGCAACGTCCTCCTTGGCTACATAGCAAGTTCAAGGCCAATTTGGGATACATGAGACCCTCCTACAGAAAAGAAGAAAGTGGACATGGGAGGGAGGGAGACAGAGAGAGAGAGACAGAAGGGGGGAGGGGATAAAGTGGGGTGAGTGTTGGGCGGGGCCTGAGCAATGCAGCACACCTGAGAACCATTTGCTTCATCTTCAGGGACAGAATCATCACTGTGTTTGTGTTTGTGAAAATATTCCAAAAGGGAGAGAGAGTACCATACAGATTTGTAAATTCTCCACAAGGATGTTTTAGAAATAGACTGAGGAGGAAATTCTTCACCTCCTGGGATATAACGGCGACACCGTCAAGTTAGTCAGAAATGGTGCTGAGCTACCCCCACAGCACTCTCTGGCTACTGCAGTGTACTGACAGTAGCCTTTGTTTTGGTTGTAACACATCTGCACAGCACACTAACATGTTCTTGTAGTGAGCATGGATTGTTTGTATTGTGTTTTTAATGCAAAGAGTGGTTATCCTTTGCACACCTGCAGTCTGCTGTGAATAGAATGTACAAGCATCTCCCAAGGGCTTGCGTATTAGAGGGTTGGTTGCAGCTAATGGGTCCTTAAGTGATGGTTGGGAAGCTGGAGAGATGGCTCAGCAGTTAAGAGCACTGGCTGCACTTCCAGAGGATCCAGATTCAATTCCCAGCAGCCACATGGTCTGTAACTCCAGTTCTGGGACATAGGATACCCTCTTCTGAACTCTGGGGACACTACACATCCCTATGATGCACAGACATACATGCAGGCAAACACCCACACATATATTTATTTTATTTAAGAGATGATTGGCTCATAAATTAATACACTGATTAAATTACTAGCTAAATGGATTTTTAATGGGTGGGGCCTGGTGGAAGTTAATGACTCTCTAGGGGCAGGTCTATCTTGTCCCTCAGCAATTTCTCAACCTTTTCTGCTTCCTGGTTCCTCTAAAGTGAGCAGTTTTCTTCTGGTCTGCCCTCCCACTGTGATATTTCTGGCTAGCTGTCATGGGACTTCTCTTAGGAAGATATAAAGAAACATTTAATCACCCCCAGATAGAGACGCCACCAACAGACTAGAAAGCTTCTGTCTAAAGCTAACTCTGTGAACCATTTGGTTGGGGGCTTTATTTGTAGTTACATGGGTGACTCAAAGACTGCTACACCACCGGTAAGTTCCTTGTGCAGCTTGCAGACAGTAACACTGCAAAGGCCTACCCATGGTATTTGCACCAGGGAAAAGTCCCCAGTACAATTTGTGAGGGACTACACTGCTAAGAGTTTGCCTTCCATAAGCAGCTGTTTAACCTTTATATAACCTTGGGAAAGGGGGGGGGATGTTTCTAGGCCTAATCTGATAAAGACCTCATGTGGGTGATTACAATTGTTCTGAATAAAGATGGCATCCAGCACATCCAACACACAGGGGAAAGCTTCATAACACCTTTACTTCTTGCTCTTACATACTTTCCACTCCTTCTGATGCTTAGTGTTCCTTGAGAACATTAAGTAGTAAATAAGGTGTGTAATTTTTTCTTCCATTGACGACTGAACATTAATCCACTCTACCACAGTAATAGTCATCTATTCTAGACAATGTTTTCATAGTAACTGCTACCCTGATCAAGACCAACAGCAGACATAATCTGTGGCCATAAACATAGATGTTTAGAAGGCCACAGACACAACACATCCATTTAACAAGACAATAGTAGTAACCTCGCCCATTGAAGCTATGACCTTCCTTCCACAAGTTCTTATTTTGGTTTATAGTATCAAACCTTGATTCCCTCTGTGGAGTAGGTCTTAAATCCAACTGGAAAGTGATTGTGCCCAGACAGTTGTACCACTGTTGCTCCTAGGGGCGCATCTTTCCTGGCATGCTAGTGGCATTAACACATGGGACCAGTTCACAGCTGAGCAGGACCATTGATTCCCTCAGCAGCTAACATAGTATCTGTGAGAGCCATCCATTAGTGAGGAAGCTTCCATTTCAGTCCCAGGTGAACTATGGAGAACCTTCAGCCAGAGTGTGCAAGGTTTTCAGCAACAGGGACTTACTCTCTAGTTCTGGCAAGCAACCAACAGCAGTGGTGATAGCCTGTGTTATATATAGGAGTGGATGGCCCTCAGAAGCCTCCCTTGCTAATAACTATAGTTAAGCAGCCTGCACCTGGCACTGGGATTTTCATTCAATAACTCTATAGCATTTGGGTGCCCATGCATCCAGGCAGAGTGCTTCCATTTTTAAACCCTTTAACTGCCATTTTTACTGTTCTTTCCAATACCTTTCCAAATCTGCAAGACACGTAAGAGGCTAGCATTGTATAATGAAATCTTTTCACACAGGTTGAGCAGTTATCTCTGAAGGTCCATGCCTCTTGTTCCAAGGAAGTGGGAATTGGTCTTGGAATTCAGCAGCTAAGGGGATACTTACAAAACTTTAACAGGGTTCAGTATAGCATGAAAAGATCCCATCACATGCACTGGCTGTTCTTTCAAAAGAGCAATATTGTGCAAGCAGCCCAGACAGTCATCGCCCATTTAACCCTTCACAACCCAGTTTCCATAAGCTGTCTCACCTCACTGGCTACACTCGGCCATTAGGGCCTTATGCTGGACAAATAATCTCTCAACTCTACACACTCATTTTGCCCAACCATGTGACCGTCCCTATAGTTTGCACCCCACGGCAAAACTCTATGATGAATGCTATGTGGCATACGAAGCATTGGCTTAGCTGTCCTATGTTTTCTCATCATGGTGACAGAATGCCTGGCAAACTAAGGGAGACTTCTTGGTTCACAATTTGAAGGGAGAAAGTTCGTCATAGTGAGGAAGGCATAGTACCGGGTGGCTCTGTGATGGCAGAAACAGGCAGTGGCAGATACTTGCTCACCACTTGGCAGATCAGGAAACACAGGGAAGACAGGAAGCACGCCTGACAACCACAAGCCTGCCACAATCATCTACTTCTTCCTTTGAGGCTCCGTCACTCAAAGGTTCTACAGTCCTCAAGGCAGCAGCCGCTGCGAGCCAAGCGTTTAAGTACATGAGCCTATAGGAGACACTTGACATTGAAAGCATAAGGAACCCCAATTACCTTCTTACAGGAAAGAAATGGACTCCGTACGCTCTCCAGGGAGGAGCGATAGCTGCCTGCACCTAGGCTGGGTAAACTCCTTTTCATCTGTGCCACTCTCGAATCTCCACATCCATGCACTGATACCTGTACTCCCTGTGCTTTGGAGAGTTGCTCCAACATCCATTCTCAAGAGCTCTGAACACTAGCCGGAGACCAGTAAATCTGCAGTTCAACTTGGGGTCTCCAATTGCCCTGCATTTTCCTACTACTGGAAACTTTGTCCACACTGTTGGACAAGTAATTCTTACCCTGCAAGATCTTTTGCTTCACTGAGCAGACAACTCAACCTCAGTTGTATGTCTATGTGTTCATGCACATGGGGGTCAGAGGGCAATCTGGGGTGTCATTCTTCGTGTCTTCTACCTGATTTTCTTGAGACAAGATCTCTGGCTAGCCTGGAACTTGCCTAGTTAAGCTAGCTGGTCAGAGAGCCCTGGATATCTGCCTTTTTCTACCTCTCCAGCTCTGGGATTACAGGCACACCACCCCAAACCCAGCTTTTGTTTTTTTGTTTTTTTTTTTCCAATTCAAGCTTTATTTAGCTGTTAAGTTCATTATCACAACATATATAATCAACATGTAGAATAAATAGCAAATTCACGTTCCAAATAAATAGTAAACCTACTTTGCATTTATCGTGCCTGGTACCACACAGGCACAATCTATCATTCCACTACACAGGTACTAACTACACTGGAGCTCACACTTGTACTAACAGAAGACACAAGAGCAGTGCTGAAGGAGGAGACTGGAAACCCAGCTTTTGTTTTTAACATGGGTCCTGGATATGAAAGTCAGGCCCTCATGCTTGCAAGCCACTATACCAACTGAACTATCCTCCCAACCCTCAGTAGCATGTCTTATCAACCAGACCACGCAACTGCCACAGTAAGATGTCAAGCCTTCCCACCCCAGGAAGAAGATACACCATGATCCCTCCCACCCCCAAGAGACATTCCACTCACGCTGAACTTAATCCATCAGTCCCTGTTCAGGCACCAGACTTCTCAGAACTTTTCCTAAGGAGATGTAAAGAGACGTGTATTCACCCAGTCAGAGAGGACACCAACAGGCCAAAGAAATGATTTTGTCCAAGTCTAGATTGTGAGCCAATACGTTTCTTGGGGTTACTCACCAGGGCATATGTGATGATTCAAAGATAGCTATACTGCCAGGAAGTCCCTTGGGTAATTCGTCGGCGGTTACACCACCGAATAGTCTCACTTGCAGTGTAGATGCTCATGGGAAGCCGCACCACTGAAAAGTCCTGCATAGCATAGGTGATTCACAAAAAGTCACTGAGTCCCCTGAGCAATTTAATGGGCAGCTATGGTACCAAGGAGCTGCCTACTGCTGAGCTCAAGATTTGTTTCGACCTCTCTGTAACCTCAGGAAGAATTATAAGCCTCACAAGTTATGTGAGTTCCCCGCTCCCTCCCTGAGGGAACACTGA